ATGTCCTAGCTGCTCCAATTTCCATCCAGCTCCTTGCATGTGGTCTGAGAAAGGAATGGAAGATGATCCAAAGCATTGAGATCCTGCACTCATTTGGGAAACCCAGAAGCTGCTGGCTTTGGATCAGCTCAGTTCTGGCTGTTGTGACCATTTAAGGAGTGAACCAGCAGATGGAAGATCTTTCTGTCTGTCTCTTCTTCTCTCTAAATCTAACTTTCCAATAAGAATATGCAAATCCTTTAAAAGATGTTAAAGTATTTTTAAAAAGAGGAAAGTGGAAAGTTTCCACCTGTTCCCCCACCTTCTCTATCCTACTTCCCTTTCCTCCAAGAGCCACCACTCTCTGTTAGCCAGGTATACTTTCCTTAGTTCTTCATGCATATGCAAGAATTCTGAATGTGTTTATCCTTTTTCTTCTCCATTTTTTTCATAAAAGCAGCATATAGCTGGTCCCTTGTTTTATACTTTTACCCAAAGCAGAGAGTTTTGGAGACCTTTCTGTGTAAAAAGATTTATCTTTTTTTTTTCTCATCTGTAATCCTCCCCACGTGGCTGCAGGGGATTTGTTCCTGAAAAAAAAAATCCTTCAAAATCAAGATCCAACAATGCCCAATTCCAATATACAAGATGGCACAGTGGTTGCATGTAATACATGTTCATCCTCCTGTGTATTTTAAATCATCTCAACTTATAATGCCAAGCCCAGTGTAAAAGCCAAACTGAGGGCTGGCTTTGTGGCATAGTGCGTTAAACCGCTGACTGGCACCAACATCCTACATGTGTGCCGGTTCAAGTCCCCACTGCTCCACTCCTGACTCAACTCCCTGTTAATGTGGCTTGGAAAAGCAGCAGAAGATGACTCAGGTGTTTAGATCTCTGGAGACCTGGATGAAATTACATGCTCCTGCCTACAGCTTGGCCCAGCCCTAATAGCTGTGGTCATTTGGAGAGTGAACCAACAAACAGATTGATGATTTCTCTCTCTCCTCTCCTCTCCTCTCCTCTCCTCCCCTCCCCTCTCCTCTCCTCCTCTCCCCTCTTCTCTTCCTCTCTCTCCTTTTCAAATAAATAACTTCTGTAACAATGCTCTTCTTGGGACTGGCGTGGTGGTATAGTGACCTAATCCTCCCCCTGCAGCACTCGCTTCTCATATAGGTGCTAGTTTGTGTCCTGATTCCTCCACTTCTGACCCAGCTCCTTGCCTACAACCTGGAAAAGCAGCTGAGGATATTTCAAATCCTTGGGTCCCTGCACTCACTTAGGAGACCTGAAGGAAGCTCCTGGCTTCTGGCTTCAGATCGGCTCATCTCTGGCCTTTGCAGCCATTTGGGAAGTAAACCATTACTCTCTCTCTCTCTCTCTCTTTTTCTCTCGTCTCTCTCTCTGTCTCTCTGTCTCTCTTCCCCCTCTCTTTCTCCTCTCTGTAAATCTGCCTTTCCCATACAATGAAATGAATACGTCTTTAAAAATGCTGCACTGAGTTATAGAATGATGATAACAAAAATATTCAGTCATATGCAGGTTTTCCCTCAGATATTTTCAATCTACATTTGATTGAATGCTGAGCCTGTGAATGCACAAGTCTATTTCCTAACCCCACCAAAACTTTTAGTTACTTAGTATTATATAGTGGAGTATGTTGTTGAGCTGTAATCTTTTGTTAATCCAAACAATGCTTGATGAATAGGACTAGATCGGTGAGCCTTAATTTCTACACTACTATTGTTTTATGCACAAGCTTTTCCAAACATAAACTCTGCAAAATCTGCTTTGATGAACAAATGAGCCCAATGTATAATGAGAAATAGTATTTGCATAGAAGAATTAATGTTCCCAAATCCCCTACTCCGTTTTATCCCTTTAAGTGGACATTTTGCAGCAAGTTTATTTACATTTATAATTAGGTTAGTTGGCATTTTGCCCTGGAAAATATAAGCCTAGAACAGAGCTAATCATCATGAATTTTAAATTAGTAGTGTTTGGATAAGAGAAATTTTTGAGCTAATTTTCTAAACTGTTGTTTTAGTCTGTACAGAGAGCTTTGAATTTCATGTGTATTTGCAATGTCAGTTTCAATTTGGATACTCAGAATAGTATTCTTCTAAAAAAACACCAGTGTTGAAATTACAGGAATTACTTTAAAATAAAATAATTTTTTTAAAAATTCTGATTGAAGGAGCCAGAATTGTGTTGCAATGAGCAAAGCCACTGTCTGCAATTGCCAGCGTGTCGTATAGGTGCCGCTTCGGGACCCTGCCATTGCTCCACTTTCTTTTTTTTTTTTTTCTTTTCTTTTTTAAAAAAAGACTTATTTATTTTTCATTGGAAAGGTAGATTTACAGAGAAGGAGAGGCAGAGAGAAACATCTTCTGTCCACCAGTACACTCCCCAAGTGACTGCAGTGCCCAGAGCTAAGCCGATGTGAAGCCAGAAGCCAGGAACTTCTACAGGTCTCCTATGAGGGGTACAGAGTCCCAAGGCTTTGGGCTGTCCTCCACTCCTTTCCCAGGCCACAAGCAGAGAGCTGGATGGGAAGTAAAGTAGCCAGAATACAAACTGGTACCCACATGGGATCCTGGTGCGTGCAAGGTGAGGACTTAAGCCACTAGGCTACTGCGCCAGGAACCACTGCTTCATTTTCAATCCATCTCCATGCTAATGTGCCAGGGGAAGCAACAGAAGGTGGCTTGGGCCCTTGCCTCTCACTTGGGACACCTGGCTGGAGTTCCAGAATCCTGGCTTCAGCTCTGGCTTAACCTCAGCCATTGTGAATATCTTGGAAGTAGCAATGCGTGGAAGATTTCTCTATCTCTTTCTCAAACTCTGAATTTCAAATTACTATAAAAGCCTTAAAAAATAGAAACAAAAATATCAGAATTTTAGACGCAAATTCCCCCATCAAATTAGCCTTAATCAGGCTAGATTTAAGATGATGTTTAAAAATAGTGAAAGCACATAACGTTGTAGACATTTATTGCCAATATCAGATTGCCACAACGTATGCTGACTTTCATCATGAGCTAGATGTCCTGTCTGCTCTAAGGTCAGTCAGACAACCCGCTTAGAAAGCCCTAGGGATGTAAATGGGATGAGGTGCACTGCCCCCTTTCAAGAAACTGAACTTTGGTGAAGATGCATGAAAAGAACAGAAAAATTAAGGTACTGGTGGCTTATTTAAAAGTCTGATAGCATTTACCATGGATCAGGCGTGGTCCCAAGTGCTTTACAAATGTTAACATATTAAAAGCTCACAATAGCCAATGAGGTAAGTGCAATTACTATAAATTACTTCATAGATGAGGGAAATGAGATGCAGGATGACAAACACAGACCTCAGGGTCACACCACTAAGTGGACAAGGCAGGATTGCTACTGGCTGTGGGAGACCATGTGCCTAACCAGCTGCCACACTGCCCCTTGTGGCAGCATTGTGACTGCAGCGCAAAGGATTCCAGTGGAGACTGACCGAGTTTTATCAGGCCACTCAGAGCACCTCAGAGTCAACTGTCTGTTTTGATATTTCTGATTTTTAGTACAATAAAATATGCTAAGAACGGGAGCTCATTGGAAGAGCGAACACTGAAAAATGTTTTGGAGTGGACATTGAGGAGACCTATGCCCACGCAGTGCGATGGGCACAGAGGAGAGTGAACGGGACAGAGCCAAGGCAGAGGCTGGGATCACATCTCACGGTGTTGCAGGGTGCAAGCGGGATCACACCAGACATGTCTAAGGCTTATGAAGGAGTCTATTAACCAAGCTTGGTGACAATAGAGCACAATAGCAAAACACAAGTCCATACAGCAATCCAATCAATCATAATCCAACCAATCATAATCCCAAAAGGAACAAATGGTCATTATCCTTAAGTCCATCCATTAAGGTGAAGATCTATGTCCCAGCTTCCCCAACAATATAAGTTATCCTAAGAGACATGCAACGAATAACCTGGACACACTCACAAAGCTGCAGACATTCACCTTTCCCTAGCTTCTCTGCCCACATTCCACTACTGCTAGGCCACACCCCTCCTGGAACTCCCGACAGCACACAAAACAGAAACAACATTATTATAACCATTGCTCCATCTAAGCAGTACACAGGCTCCATAGCTCAGGGGATCACCTGTCCTGGGTCAGCCAAGAGTCGAGGTGCTAGCGTAATGGAAGCACCTGGCCAGAAAGAGAGAGAGGGGCAGGGAGAGCCCCTGCTTCCTGGGCCTTTTAAAGGGGCTTGTGAAGGGGGTGGTTATACGACAATACAATACCATTCCCTCTCAGTTGATAGGTGAGTCACAGGTGGGCAGGAGCGAATACCTAAGTGTTGTGAGTTAAGGAGTTAATTGGCGCTCACTGGGATGGGCAGGACAGGAACTGGGTTTGTAGCTGAAAATGCTTAGACTAATTGAACTTGTCTGTATCCAATATCCTGGCTAAATTAGGACATGGGGGAAGTGGTTGAGGATTGAATTATCATGCCATTGCTGTTAGGATCCACCTTCAGGACAGAGGATAGGGGACCCAACCAAGTTTCATTTGCTCACTATCACTGGCTGCACCCCATAACAAAGGATTTCAGGCTGTGTCTTATATGGTCATGCTGCTTGCACCCTCCCATCCACAGACATGGCCTGCGTTCTCATCAAATACACTCAGTGATTCAGTAGGCCCAAGGTGGCACAAAAGCTTGCATTTGCAGTAAAGCTTCAGGTGATGCTGATCTCACTGGTCCCTGGACCACACTTAGAGTAGCAAGAAACTAGGAAACAGCAGGAAACCATTTTGAGCCTGGGGGTTGGGGTAAGGGATGGAGTACTGATAGAAAATTGCTTATGTACTTCCTTCAAGTTGTAGCCAAAAATGTTAAACATATTGACCTACAATATTTTATTCTGTCTATTTATACATTTTTTTTCTATATACCACTCCCCTGCTTTCAGAGACCAAGAAATCTTGCCTTAAACAATGATTTAACCCACTCTTGTCCAATCTTTCACACAGAGCAAGGCTAAGGAGCTGCCACTATCTGCTGTACGTTTTATGGAAGAACTGGGTGAATGTGCCTTTGGGAAAATCTACAAGGGCCATCTCTACCTCCCAGGCATGGACCATGCCCAACTGGTGGCTATCAAGACCCTGAAAGACTTTAACAACCCTCAGCAATGGGCAGAATTTCAGCAAGAAGTCTCCCTCATGGCCGAACTGCACCACCCCAATATCGTGTGCCTGCTAGGGGCTGTCACACAGGACCAACCTGTGTGTATGCTTTTTGAGTACATGAACCAGGGAGACCTCCATGAATTCCTCATCATGCGCTCCCCCCACTCTGACGTTGGCTGCAGTAGTGACGAAGATGGGACAGTAAAATCAAGCCTTGATCACGGAGATTTCCTGCACATTGCAATTCAGATTGCAGCTGGCATGGAGTACCTGTCCAGTCATTTCTTTGTCCACAAGGACCTTGCAGCTCGCAACATCTTAATTGGAGAGCAGCTTCACGTCAAGATTTCTGACTTGGGACTTTCCAGAGAGATCTACTCAGCTGATTACTACAGGGTGCAGAGTAAGTCTTTACTCCCCATCCGCTGGATGCCGCCGGAAGCCATCATGTATGGCAAGTTCTCTTCTGATTCAGATATCTGGTCCTTTGGCGTTGTCTTGTGGGAGATTTTCAGTTTTGGCCTCCAGCCATATTATGGATTTAGTAACCAGGAAGTGATCGAGATGGTGAGGAAACGGCAGCTCTTGCCTTGCTCCGAGGACTGCCCGCCCCGGATGTACAGCCTCATGACGGAGTGCTGGAATGAGATTCCTTCCAGGAGACCAAGATTTAAAGAGATTCACGTCCGCCTTCGGTCCTGGGAGGGACTCTCAAGTCACACGAGCTCTACAACTCCCTCGGGGGGCAACGCCACCACGCAGACAACCTCCCTCAGTGCCAGCCCAGTGAGTAATCTCAGTAATCCCAGATACCCAAATTATATGTTCCCAAGCCAGGGTATCACACCACAGGGCCAGATCGCGGGTTTCATTGGCCCACCCATACCTCAGAACCAGCGCTTCATCCCCATCAATGGGTATCCAATACCTCCTGGATATGCAGCGTTTCCGGCTGCCCACTACCAGCCACCAGGACCTCCCAGGGTGATTCAGCACTGCCCGCCCCCCAAGAGCCGGTCTCCAAGCAGCGCCAGTGGATCAACCAGTACAGGTCATGTGACCAGCCTCCCTTCGTCAGGATCCAATCAGGAAGCAAATATCCCTTTGCTACCACACATGTCCATGCCAAATCATCCCGGAGGGATGGGAATCACCGTTTTTGGCAACAAATCTCAGAAACCCTACAAAATAGACTCCAAGCAACCATCTCTGCTAGGAGATTCCAATATTCATGGACACACCGAATCTATGATTTCTGCAGAACTGTAACATGCACAACTTTTGTAAATGTGGTATACAGGACAACTAGGAGGTTGTAGAAGAGATTTTATATTCAAATGTTTTATTAAAGTAAGGCTCTCATTTAGCAGACGTGGCAACAAGTATCTTCTGTGAAGCTAAACTGTGTCATATGAAGCAAGACACCCCCTAGCCAGAAAACTCCACCACCACCATTCACTCCGTCGGAGTACATGACATGGCGTTGGGACTGGAACTTAACAGTTTCAAGTGCTAAAAACTGCAAACTGGTGAAGAGGAAAAAGAATTTTGTGATTAAATCTCAAACCAAAAAGGAAGTCAAATGGTGCTTTGTGTATTTGACTTCAGCGGCCATGACTGGTCTCTCCCTCCTACATGTATATACAGTAGCATTTGTCTACCTGCTGTCTTTTCTTCAGGACAGATGTTCAGGAATTGTGTTATTTCAAGTTAGACTCTATGCTTGGTTGTAATGGAAGTGATGTTGAGAATCAATGAGGAAGCTTTAGGCCAAATGGAAATGAGCCATAAGACAAGTCTAACACCCCCTGCAGCCTTCTACCGAGTGGAGCTTCCTCAGGAAGGTGGAGAGTGTGCCTCTGATCATGAAATCCAGCCCGCATTCTCTTGGGTCACAAGTGTTTACACAAGTCTTTGAAAAAACACAGGGCCTCAGACCCTAAGAAGGCTAGCCTCGGATGTAGAATTGATTGGTGATGGATGATTCACTTCACTGAACTAGGGATAAGACACCAAAGGAGGCACAGTCAGAAAAATGGCTCCTCCTGTTAGATCAGTACTCATGGATGTGGTGGTACAAGGTTTCCCACAGGAACAGCCTCCACAGGAGCTTCCCTGGACCAGTCACGTTAAGAATGAGAGATTTGGCTGCAGACAAGCATGCCCACAACTTACAAGCCCTCTTTTTACAAGTCATCCAACGTGTTGGGGTACTTACCATCAAGAGACACAAGCAAATAGGATTCCCCATGTTAGCTCCAATAGCTAGTAAATTCCAAGTCTTTCTCACCTTTTGTTTTTCTCTCTTGGAAATGTTCACAGATGTGATTCCAGCACCGATAAATATAGCCATTTATTCATAGGGTTAGTTAGCATCCGAAGATAATGAATTCTATGTTGTAAAACATTTACAGTATTTCTTTAAACAATGTACTGAGTTCTTATTTCAAAGTTTATCAACAACTGAATTTCATCTAGTAGCACAGAAGCGACATGATCACTTTGCCTGTGTTCGAAGGAGGCATCAAATGTGCGTCTCCTGGCATTCACCTGCCAACCGTCTTTTGCCAAGTTTAAAATTCTTGTGGATTTCAAGTTCTATTTAGAAAGGAATTTTATACTGGTTGAAATTTTCTCTGGCTGAACAACAACAACAACAACAAAATTCCTTTATTCTAAGAACAGTGTCTCAAAGCCTTGTTTTTATTTTAAAGCTATATAAGTCTTACAAAAAGACTTGCAGGATGTAAAGTAATTGTTGAAAATTATGTTTGATGAGGAGAATGTAAGAGAATTAGAAACATGTTGATGTTTCCGTTGTATAAAAAGTAAAATTAGCATGAGAAATCAAGGGAATATGTTTACCAAACGTGTTGTAGAAAACTGACTCTTCAGACAACAAACATGAACTGATAGGTACTGTGAACTTGAGGCGTTGGCTGCATCCAGACTTACTGGGAGATGAATCCAGACATACTTTTGTGGCCTAAATAAGCTGACTCAGAAGTTACATTTCTTAAGTTTAGGTAGAGGAGAATATTTGTATCCTTTTGTTGCTATGCAACTGTTTAATGATGAAGCTTCAAATCACAATTTTTGTATATCATATGACAATCAATTCTTTTCCAAGAATATTTATTATTTTAAATAAACACAATTTCAGTGAATCTGAGTTTTTCTAGGAGTCCCTTAAAGGGAAATTAGCATTCCATGAGCCAGTAAAACACTTCCTCTGGAAAAAACACTCATACACTTGCGAAATAAATCCAAGTTGGTTTTTTATAAAGGACTATATATCATTTATTTTAAACATTTTATAATAATGGAAATCATTAGGGTGAGCAAAGTAAATTTCAAAACCACTTGTAATAATGTTTTCTAATAGCACTGTGATATTACATAACACAGTCCCTTTTGTATTAAAATAGTATTTTCCCACAAACTGAAAAATCTTTTGCTTTGTTAACAGCGTTTTGTAAGATGACTTTATTTTCAGATTTTTTTTCTTTGCACAAAATTTATGTTTATGGTTTGTATCACAGAAGTGAAAATATATCTCTGCATTTTTATATCTGGCCTGTTTTCCTGTTTCTTTTGTCTTTAACTTGATAGATTTTCTTCAAATATATAATAGCAACGTTCAGATATTTCACTCTACCATACCTTCCCTTGTTTTCACTGCATGCATTTGAGCGCTGTATTACTTAATGTTTGATTTGTTACTATGGGCATTTCAAATAGACAAGCATGGAATTGTAATGACAAAAGGCTATTTTATACTGAGGATATATGCATTTGTACTTCACACACCAGAGATGATATTAAACACTGATTATTTTATGCTGCTGTTTATTAAAATGTTTAATGTAAAATATCATTTCCTGAAATCAGATATCCTAGAGGGGTGTGGTAATTTGAACATCATTTTTCCTAATGATGACATTTCCTAGAAAGAGGAATCACAGTTCCTATCTGCTGCCATTTCACTGGAATGACTTTCTCCAAGTAAGCTTTTGAAATTGGCTTGAATTTTTTTGCCTTCTATAGGTGACAGAGCAAGTCCAGTGATTTTATAACCAAATTCTACCCACCTAGTTATGGAAAACTTTGAATTTTTTATATCATAATAATGTAGTGAATAATCACAGTCCATGGAACCCAAAGTATCGGTTTTTGTTAGAGAATTTCTCTCTTTCTGGTTTTGATGTTTCCACATGAACTTAACCTCAAACACCATGCCTTAGGACTCTAAAGAAGAAAAGGCTGTACACATCTTATCATGTCCAACTTAGATGCCAACTGTATTCACAGAAGAAATGTGGCCATATAACTGTCACAGCTTATCTTGACCTTATTGAGCCAAAAGAAAAAGTTCCCCATCTGGCGATTAACACACACTGTCAAGCAAAATGAGTGTCATTATGAGAGTTCAAAGAACTTGTCCATTTCTGCTATTTGGTACAGAAGAGAACACACTAAAGCCTTCAGGGCCTTATCCATCTGTTTTAGGTACAGCCCTTGTCACCACTTCAGCCATCAAACTCAATAAAGCAATCACCTCACATGGCAACAGCATCCGTGTCAGGTTGGGTTTCTCTCCCCTCTCACTTGAATTCCTCAATCTGCCCTTCACTCCCATTTCCTTCTTGGGTCTCTCTGGTTGGTTACCCCTCCCACCATCCAATCCCCTTCAACTCTTAAATTCTCTTGATTTTCCTTAATTCCATAATCACCAACATCTGCAGGCTCCCAGCGTCACGCTGCTGTGTTGCCTGCTGCAAGGCACTCAATGCTAAATAAAGAGAAGCTCTCTTCTGTAGCCACACACCTCCAAAGTCGCTTCCCCATCCCACCAGGTCACAGTGGGTAGCTCCCTAAGCAAAGTACCAGCAGCACCCACAACTTAAGAGACATGCAAATGGTCAACCCCATTTCTAAATTTTAAGGGGTTTCAAATTTTAAGATCATGAATTCTGGGGTTGGGACCCAGCAATTTTCATCTTAGCATTCCCGCCACATAATTATGATATGCATAAGAACCATAAATGCAGAATGAACCTAATTTAAAAACATGGATGAGGGTGTAGACAAGCCATCATTACATTCTCAGCCATGTTGTATATGTGTGAGTTATTCACAAAGTTTGCTGAAAATAAAATTCAAGTACACCCAGGTGCAAAACTTAAAATTCAAGCATGGTTTTTTCATGTTACACTTTTTAAATGAACTTTTTGAAAGCCTCTTAAAAGATGTTTATTGAGAAATTTTAAGTCCAGCTCAGTGGAAGGTTCTCAGAAAGTACATGGAAATTACATATTGTAAAAACAAAACAAAAAAGCTAAGCATGGGATTTATAAATTTTTGCACCAAAATAGGCTGTTTGGAACAGTCAATAGCCTAGTAATTAAGAGACCCACATCTCGCAAGAGAGAGCTGGGTTCCTGGTGCTGCAGTCTGACTTGCTTCTTTGAGGAGCAAGGAATAGCCTTGTCCCTCCTGTCCTGCCAACACAGGAGAAAAAAAAAAAAGACTGAAACCTGTGTCCCACCCATCTTCCTCCATACCTGACCTTCCCAGCGCCTAATCAGAGGCCCACATGGGCATACATCCCTCCCAACTAAGTAAACAATATTGAAAATAAAATTGAAAACAAATTGCTAAAAGAATAACTGCATTCTAGTCCCTGCTCCAGCCTTTGACTCCAGCTCCCTGCTAACGCAGGCCATGAGACGTAGCTATGGAGCTCAAGTAACTGGGCTCTTTCCATCATGTGGGGACCTGGATTGAATTCCACCTCCCAGATCTGTCCCAACTCAGCCCCAGTTACCACTGTGGATATTTGGGAAGTGAACCAACCACTGGACATACCAATTTCCCTTCATGCTCTGTGTCTCAAAAAACAAAACAAAACAAAACAAGATAAAACAAAACAAAACATGAAATCCTAGCCTTGTATCTGCCAAGAAAGAGTCTACATGGGTGCTGGTTCATATCCCAGCTGCTCCACTTCCCTTCCAGCTCCCTACCTGCGGCCTGGGAAGGCAGTTGAACATGGTCCAAAGCCTTGGGACCCTGCACCCACGTTGGGGATCCAGACTTCTGATCAACTCAGCTCCTAGCCTTGGATCAACTCAACTCCAACCATTGTAGCCACTTGGAGAGTGAACCAGCAGAAAGAAAATCTTTTTCTCTGTGTCTCTGAATATCTGCCTTTCCAATTAAATAATAATAAAAAAATTTAAAACTAAAGGTTTAGCATGTTGAATGTGGCGTTGATGTCTTAAAAAACAATAAGCAGGGAAAATAAGCATGTAAATTGATTCCATTCTTTTTCCTCATATTTTTTGAAGTACTCTCAGCAGCATTAAAAAAAAAAAGATTTATTTATTTATTTGAAAGTCAGAGAGAAAGAGAGAAAGAGAGAAAGAGAATCCTCTATCTACTGGTTCACTCCCCCAAATGCCCACAACTGCCAAAGCAGGACTGGTCCAAAGCCAAGAGCCACGACCTTATTCTAGATCTCCCGGTTGGATGCAGGGGCCCAAGCACTGCTTCCCCAGGTGCATTAGAATGGACTGGATTGGAAATGGAACAGTCAGGACTTAAACTGACACCAATATGGGTCGCCTGTGCTGCACTCAAGCTAGTTTTGTCTGCTATATGACAGTGCCATCCCTCCCTACCCCAGCAACATTAAAGTAACAGCTTGTCACTTTACCCCCCTTTGAGAAAATTAAGCTATACTTAGTCAAAAAGTCAACACTAAAATCTTTTTTGTCTTATCCCTC